AAAGAGTGAATACCCAAGACGAAAACCCTAAGGAGTGAATCCAGCAGGAACCTTCGAGCGAAGACGAAAACCCCAAGGAGTAAATAGGCGAAATGCTCGAAACTTCAACCCAAGACGAAAGCACTAAGGAGTGAATTCCGAAGGCGAAAATCCTTCGGAGTGAAAAAGGTAAAACGTTACATCTGAGAGAAAAAGGTTACAACTAAGATGCCTGTTTTGCAACCCTCTGCAAAGACTTGCTGTGTTTGGAGCCAAGAAAAAGTTACAACTAAGTGATTTTACCGAAGAAAGCGGGAAAGTTAGATCCAAACAAGAAAAGTTACAAGTAAGTGTTCTACCGTCGGAATCCGTTACACCGCGCATGTATGTTGTGCATCTGAACCCCACCGAATCATATTCGTGATACCTTCCATGTTGGCGAAAAGTGTCCCGCTGGCCTCATCCGCATTTAGGACTCCAGGCCAGCCGCACTGACTCGCTCAGACAGGTGAGGGACAGCTGAGCTATGGATCCAAGTGTCCCACACTGAAGCATGGCTGGCAGTGCAACCGTAAAACAGACTTTGGAGGTTGGGGATTGGCCGGATGTTTAGCCGGGTTTTGTGAAGACCTGGGCACCCTGGTCTGTTGTTGCTTGCCTTTTCGGAAGTTCAATCGCATCTTTTTCCTCAACCTTGCGCTGCCACCTCCCGAGAGCCGGTGACTCGTGGCTCAGGAAGGCGGGACAGATGGCATACCTTCTCCGCGTGGCGGGCGAAGACGTGGCCGTGGTAGTGGGCGAGTGGGTAGCCTGGCCTCGCCCCACGAAGTCCTCAAAAGCTCGGGTCGGGGAATCAGGGATCGATGTCAAGGAAATTCCCGGCATGTGTGAAAGCTTTCCCCGACTAGAGTGACTAGATGTCAAGGAGCAGTTGCAATCAAGCCAGGTATGTCTAGCACTGATGTAGCATTCGATCCCAAGACGGAACCGTAGAAAAAGGGCGCCTGTCCACCCACCAGTGTCATCGTATTCCGCGAATCAGACTCGCAATGACTCGCAGAGGCAAGTACAGGCCAGGCAGCGCAATTTCGAGTTCTTCGCCTGCATCTGACCTATTACAGTAGAGCCCGGGACTCCTATAACACAACTGCCACCCATTGCACACCGTGCAATCGAGCAATGCCGGCTGTCGGAAACCAAAGAGTCCATGCAGATGAGCACTGGCACCATACTAGTATGCGTGTGTGCTACGAAATCCAGCCAGATCCCAGCCAAATCACCAAACTCAGAATCACAACCCACGGGCAATGACGAAGCGCCCCAGGCGGGCTTCCAGCTCCCAGTTCGCGGTGTTCCTGGCACACCTGGCATTTCCGGGGACCGTGGTACAGGTCGGCGAGGCCAGCTGCAAGGAGCTCCATCACAGGGTCGAACAAGGCATCACTTGACTGGCCAAGGGATCTCAGGCACATCCGCTTTTGAAACCACATCTCAAGAGCAGAACAGAACCCCGCATCTGTGGAAACGCTGCCATCAAAGCAGATGTGCCCAACATCAAGGCCATACAGAGCCGACAGAGCTCGTCAACCAAGAATCCAACGGATGAGAAGATGCTTGCACCTGGCTCTAGGCACCACAGGAAAGTGCTGCTGTGTTCTCTTGTAGTTTCAATGCTGAGCTTCTGCCCGGATTTTTCCAGCTCTGACCATGGCTTGGCTTTTCGAGGCGTGGCAGGCACCCGCGGCATCAAAGGGAAGCTAGGTAAGCCGGGGCAACTGCAGCGACTAGCCTGCAATCAGTGAGCACTCAGGTGTCCAAATTTGTCCAAGTGTTTTGCGCTGACAGCCGCCAAGGATCAGGATCTTCGCACTTCGGACACGGATACCCTCTGAATGCAAGGTGGGCGAGTAGCCAAGTACAGTAGTCTGCAGGGGCACAAGGCTCGTGCAACACGACGGGTAAACGGGTAAATAACAGTTGAAAAAGCCCTTCATATTAGCTTCAAGTTCAGGACTCGGGCGCAGTCATAAATTGTGGCTGCCAGGTCACTCCCACCTACTTCAAACGAACCGCGCCTGCCATGCCTCCCGGCTCTGACTTTCAAGCTCGCATTTGCAGCGCTCAGGAGAAGGCTGCTTGCGCATGTGGTGAATCCTTCGCTGCTGGCTTTTCAGGAGTAGCTCGCGTGATTTTCTGTGGAGATTTTAGCTCCAGTGGAATCCGGAGGATCAATTCGGAACGGATCCGTATCTCAGGTATACCATGAACCTTTCAGACTTACATGTACCAGGCTGCACGGAAAACATGGTGGTCGCTTCTTGGGCTGATTGTGCACCGAGAGTCTCAGGGGTGGGTCAGTTTGGAGCCGAACGGCGTTGGATTTGGCATTGTTTGTCCCGGTCTAAGCCGGGTCATCGCTACATGGAAGAAGCCGTCAATCAGCTGCCGTAGAAACCTGAGTCTTGGTACCCTGACCGACCTCTGGAGAAGGTACGCCCGACCAGGCACATGCTCTTCCATTAGTTATTAGCTTGCCTTCCCAAGTGCGCATTAGCCAGTATAATCCAAGTCGCATTTCCGCCAGGCGAAAGGCAGCTAGGTCCGACTTGAGCTGAGGATGTCGCTACGTCCAGTCTTCAAGTCCGTGCTCAAAGTACTCTCCCCATGGCGGTGGCCTACGGCCTCAGTATGTCCATCGCCGCCCTGCGCTGCGGCTGCAGAGTAAGGGCGGGCTTCCCTCCTGAAAGTCCTCTGCGGATGTCCTTCTTGACACTACTCACTACTCTTTGTCACGTTACGTTCAACTGGGGTCCACAACTAGTTGTCGTGTCAACGTGCGTTCAATTTAGCTTGATGTAGATGTAGAGCACACGGCTGCGACACAAAAATGCAAAACAAAAATACGTCCATGGGGCAAGCAAGATAGCGTACCTGACAAAGCAGTCCAACACACAGCACTCAGCACTTCACCTTGTATAGTATAGGAGCATAGGAGCCTCATAATCGGCGATACTGATACTGGTTTTTGCACTGCCCACGTGGTGTAGTGCAATTACTCTCACGTTAAGTTATAGTTCAGCGCATGAAGCCCGTCCTACTCATTTAGACCAAAGGTTTCGGGGGACCATGGCACTTTTCCAAGCGTTTCTCGAAAAGCCTCGACAGCCATGGCAAGGCATGTGACCCTGCAGCCACGCATGACACCCTTGGCAAGCAGTGGGGCTGTGATGGGCGCAGCTCGGCTGCCCATGCCAAGAGCAGAAACTGCACTCGCTTCTGGTGTAGAGCGAAAAGGCGATTTTTTGGAAGTTCCTTTGATTGGGGTTTACTCGAAAGCTGAGCCTTGGGAGCAATGCTATTGCATGTTTTCTGGGCTCCCTTGATCGAGTTAAACCCAATTCCTTCAACTTAACATGTCTCCACCACGCTTGGGGACTTCTGCGACGGACAGAGATCGAATCGGAACGAAGTGATTCGCTTGCTCCCGAGCCTTGAAGGTGGCACCAGGATCCAAGAAGCCACTTCCCGCAAGTCCCGAGGCCGGGACCTTTTCATCCAGTTCCTGTTGCCGTTGCAGGTATTCTGGCTGTTATCCATCTCGACTGGAGCGCAGAGATAGACATGGCTGGCGTTTGGCTCATTCCACTCGGTCCCACAGAATGAAGCACCGGAGTCTTTGCATGCCAACCCCTACCAAAACCTTTTCGATTTCAAAAGCTCCGAAGAATCATAACGGGCCCTTCCTTGGCCAACCAATAGTACCAAGACCAAGACAGTGGGTAGCAAACGTGTTGGATGTCTGAGCGCATGTGTGACAGGTGTGATTGGATTGTTGCATATCGGGGCATGACAAAGCATGCACATCACTCGTCTTTCAAGGTACTAGAATTTTCTGTGTCCCATGCCGCTTCTGCTAGGGAGGTCTTGATGTAGCTGATACGGATTGCAGTGTCACGGCAGGCAGGGGTGTCAATGTATCCACCCTGGACCGTCGAGCAACGCAACTTCCCAATGCTTACAGCGGCCGGAGGACGAGAAGGTTTAGTCACTTTTTGACAACTGCCGTGATCATGGTTCATACTTCCCCCCCCCTCCTTTTTGCAGGCAATTCAAACAGGCTTCGCGGAGCCATCAGCAACGACAAACTACAAAGCCGAAAAACTCAACCTGGGAGGTTGGAAGAGAATCCACCCTTCCACAGCCCGCAGGAGAGATCAGTCCAACGGAAACAGTCGTGGGAGTTCCCCTTGGGAATGAGGATGGGACCGTCCAGAGGGACGATCATGTGCCTGGTCCAATACTGAACAGAGGGTTCAGGTTGTAAAGAGTGAGCAATACAAACAGACATGGCCTCGAGTCGGCTGCTGTGCAATCATGACAAGCTACTTCGGCTGCTACGCTCCAGTCAGATGGTGCAGCGGATGCAGTGGTACATCGGAGTTACATTTTGACCACTCCTGACTTATGATCTCATAATTGGTATAATAGATGGAACCCAAGAAGTGCTTCAACTATAGGCACCTCGTGAGCACACCCCCAACTAAGCGCTTTTGCTGCACGTTGTCTTTGGTAATCCTTGCGGCACGAAAAAGATTGGCACTTCGCGGTTGCGGCGAGATGCTCGAGATGCAGCCCTTCCATCAAAGCAGAAGTAGCACCACTGGTTGCTGCATTGATTTTCTCGCCATCCTCGAAGAACCTTGCTCTCACAGGACTTGAAGTCCCGTGTCTATGCAATGCCAACTCCGTCCAATGTTTGGATTGATACAACACAGAGCAGCTCGCTCCGATCTGTTCCTGAGGCTTATGCAGACGACGACAGCTACCTCTTCTGGGGAGTGGGAATGCTCTACGTTTCGGATTTTGGCTACGCAGGACACCAGGCAGGCTTTCAGTTGTAGCCAGGGTTTTTACAGTGTTTTCTTCATGGTGATTTGTCTGAGGCCGATCTTCCACCAACTTGTTGGCAAACAGGTATTGTAAACACCTTTATGCTGTTTGCATATGCTCGCCTATATAGGTATAACATGCATTATGAATTTAGGACTTGGATATTGGGGAACATGCCATCTGGCTTCTGGTGCTAAGTCGGTGTGTAGATTGCAGGTGCGACTGATGCCATTTAGTTCAGGGACTGGTGGAGAATCCCGCGTATCTTCGCTTGTGTTTCCTGTGTACTGTAGCTTCCTAACGGCGGCCTATGACAGGATTACCCCGAGTGCCCGGACCAGTATCAATTTTCAGCAATTTCATTGGCCCTCTGTCACCAAAGCTCCCCGCGAGCGGGGACCTTCGGGGGTGGGGGGGTTGTTTTCGATGGTTTTTTGAGCCATCCCCGGTCTGGCCGGGACCCCGTTGCCATAGGGGTCATAGGGGCGCTTTTTGGGCAAGATGTGAAGCCTTACGCTGGCGTCTCTTCGGCACGAGAAACAGGTTTCTTCTGATGCTGTCGATGCTGGCAGCCGGGGTCGTTCTGATGCTGCGATGCTGTCCATGGCGGGTGCTGCTGCTTCAACGTCCTTTGAACATCGGATTGTCGTGAGCACAGTTCATCTCGGCAGGACTTGCCTGCGGAGCCTAGTTCTTCATTTCATTCGTCTGCATCTGCGCATATGCACATGTACGTATACCGTTTACCTGTAGTCCTATCTCTGTCTGTGTGTCTGTATGTATATGTATGTGTGAATGTGTGTGTGTGTGTTCGTTTGATCCTATGTACGCATGTCTGTATGACGTATGTATGAATGGATGTATGATGTCTGTCTGTCTGTCCGTCTGTCCGTCTTTTTGTCGGTCTGTGATAGGTATGTATGCATGTCTGTCTATAGAGCTTTCGTCCCAGCTCGCGGCTCTCAAGTTCTTCGCGCCATCCTGGAGCCGATCGACCCTTCTGTTAGTTATTGGTGGCCATGTCGGGTCAATGTGCGCCCTTTCAACTGGCTTTCCATTCCGGGGAGAGGGCCATCTTCCAGTCAATTTTCCAAACCCACAAAGCCAGGCAGACTACGCAGTGAACGGCATTGCTGGTGGCTGCGGAGGCTGCGGCGGTTGTGGCGGTTGCGGTGGGTGCGGCGGATGCGGTGGTTGACCTGCTGAGCGGCCAGGCAAATTTGCGAGTCCTGTCAGTGGACGAGTGCTTTAACGTTCGGAATGAGTTGCCGTAAATGACTCGCTTAGCCTGCTAACGCGACATTTACAGTCGATTCTAGACTGTCCATTGTTTTCAGCTTTGAGGGTGACCTGGTTTATGGCAGCGGGTCATCTCAGCTCCCTTTAGCTGCTACCAGGTAGGGTGGAGTAATTATATACGGGGAAGTGTGTGAATTGCAGAGGCAGGCATCGTTTTGAAATGTCGCCGCATTCCAGAGGGATGTGGACCCCCTTGCCCATGCGTGTTCCCAAGACATGCGAGCGGGACAAGCTCAATACGAGCACCTGTCCTGTTTAGAGCTCCCTTGCCGTCAGGACCAGGCTGCAATGCCGGACTGGCAAGTTGCATAGTCGCTAACCACGGCATCGTTTCAATAGTCCGGGTGCAACAGTTTCACCCTGGCGCATTGGTTTCTTTTCCATGAAGACGCTGTGCTCCGCAGTTCACGCGGCCCGTGGGTTGTTGGGAATGGCCGATCTGCTTGAGCTGGACTCTTCTTGGCAAGAGGCTTGCTCACTGCATAGCATAGCCACCCCGACTGGCGGAAACCTTGCAAACGAGAATGCAGAGAATGCCAGTGGCGGTCTCTGTGGTAAGCTGCACCAAGTCACCAAGAATCCTGCTCCCTAAATGAACGGAAACTTTGTGCGACGTAAGGCCCAGTGTGGCTTGGTCCCAGATCAGCGCTTCAGCTTTTACGATCACGTGCATACCACGGGCCGCGAGCTCAGCCAATCCGGGACCTCAAGTTCGGTGGCACAGTGAAGTCACGTCGTTGGGGCCCGGGCCGGTGCATCTGCAGTCGGACTCAGAGCGGTGCGGATCACGAGGTTGCGGTTGCGACTACTGGACCTTTCGTGCCAAATCATGCTACACAGCAAGTCCGTCGTAAGTCCAACATTTGGTGTTGTGCCAACCTGAATCCACCCGCAATGCAATTCAAGACCAGGTATGGACGTGAAGCAGCCGCTGCTTTGCACAGCAGCCCTGACTTTGAGCAAGGCTGGGGGGAGTTCACAGCATGCAGATCTGAAATCCACCGGGGTCACGAGGAAGCTTGATCGCTGATGTACTGACATCATCCTACTGGCAACATACATCGCAGTAGCACAACCGGTTAATAATTTCTATACAGAGTATCACTCACGCCCTGAATTACCATCATCGAGTGTTGGGTGAGACCTCCCAGTGTCTCCAACGATCAGGACATGACCTTGCGGGACTACGCACAAGGTGCCTATCGCATGCGCGGCATAGGCGGGACGGATCTGCACCATGAGATGCAGAGCTACCATACGCCATACGCACTCTGCCAGACTGAACTTGGGAGGACAGTTGAGCAGGGAGTAGTTCAGCCAATGCCCGCACAGGACGTGGCCAGCGCATTGACCTCCTTGTGACGCCCGAGGTCAGTGCACTCATGAACAAGCCCGGGCCTGGTCGCTTCTTTACGGTTAGAGGATGTTGGAGGTGAAGCGGGGCGGCTTCCAAACTTCGGATCTCTCCGACCCGACGTCCGGCAGTTTCCGGCACAGTTTAAGGGGGACGAGATTTCAGTCAGTATAAAAGAGGGTCGAAAGGCAGTATGCAAAGACTGCTTGTGCTGGCCTCGTTTGCTTAGTGCTTTATGGGATTCTTCGACGTGCTGTTTCTAGAGGGTACACATCGAGACCTCAGGTCCCTCAGCAGGGTCGCGCAGCTGAGCGAAGAGGTGCAACACAGAAAGCTTTGTCACGTGCGTGTGGCACACGCCGGAAACGACATAATTCCCGATCGCAGGTTGTCGTTCGGCCCCATTCGGCTAGTGGCATAACCCTGGGGCCTCGGAGGCACGATCGAGAAGTCTCGCCGACCTCAAGAAGAAGAAGGAGGCAGGGCAGCAGAGCCAAGGTGCGGTGTGGGTCTGGCATCGCAGGCAACATCGATAATTATTCTTCACGGGCACCCGCCTCCACTGGATCTACACGAACACCCAAAAGCTTGTCATAGTTCGAGTATGGGCTGCAGGTCGTGCAGTGAAACTCAGTTTTGAAATTACTGAACTGGGAAGCTGGAGATAGTACGAGCCGGGATGCAGCAGAATTTCTGCATGTTTGCACGGGGGCTCCGAGGCCTGGGCACAGCTCGTGCTGGTGGATGTCATCACCTGGCTCGTGCTCAACGGCCTGGCAGCAGAGGTGACCTGGCTCCACTTCTGCCACAGTTGCACCGACCGAAGATGCCCGTGCAAAAAACGGAAGGATGCCGACACTAGACACGAAGACTCTTGCGCCCTCTGCGGTGCAGAGCCCGCTATTGTGCCCGCTTCACCGTAGCCCTGATCAGGCCAGCAAGCGCCAGCTTCTGCACCAGCAGGACCTCCGGAATCTCTGGCGAAGTGCCGCTTGCCGGGCGGCCTGGAGACAACGTCTGCTTTTGCTCGGAATGCATGTCAGAGTTTTCAGTGTGTCGAGTTGTTTTAGGTTTTCCTGATGCTACGGTGAGCACGCACACTTGCTGAATGCAAGGTGTACCTGTTAACTTATGGACAAAAACGTGTTCCGTAGCACTATCCGGAAAAGCGTTGTTTTGTGTTACGTATTTGTCAACCGTTGCTAGCTGCTAGTCGGTCGAGGGATTGTGGTTGTAGTCCTAGTGGTAGTCGTCGTCTCGAAGCAGCCGTAGTCGTAGTAGTCGTAGCACTCCTCCTCGTCGGAGTCGCAGTCGTCGTAGTGGTGGTAGCGGTAGTAGAAGTTGTAGTTGTAGGTGTAGCAGTAGTAGTAGTCGTCGTCGTCGTCGTAGTAGTTGTAGTCGTCGTAGTAGTCGTAGTGGTAGTGGTAGTGGTAGCGGTAGTGGTACTGGTAGTGGTAGTGGTAGCGGTAGTGGTAGTAGTAGTAGTAGTAGTTGTTGTTGTTGCTGATGTTTTTGTTGGCAGCACGTAGTAAACCTTAATGATCTTACCTGCAGCCACTGGCTTTTGGCTTCGGGTGCAGGGATCTGGTTTGTACTCCTTCGGGCTCATGGTTGGTGGTGCTTGCAGGAAAACTAACATGGTTTGGACCAGAGTTTAGGACGTTTAGGATTTGGGGTTAAGGATTTGGGGTACCACAGTTTGGACCATGGGGATCTGCACGTGCTTCTGGACAGAACTCGCACTTCTTCGCAGCATGACCCGGCTGCAGCATGCATTCCATGCACGCTTGCGTTGCTGCAGCAACCAAAGATTTCAACTTGCAGGGGTCATGTCCGGGTGCCTTATCACTTGTGTCTTTTTACTCCTTGCGAGAAAACAGTCTCGAGCAAAAGCCTTTTTCTGCTAGCCGTCAAATTGTCTTCCAGGGTTTGGGCATTTTTCATTTGGGTTTCGGTCTGGGTTTACTCTTCTTAGGGGGCCAGGGTGCGCTGCTTTTAGGGTTGGGTTTACTCCTTTTAGGGCTTCCGCCTGGGTTTCGTCCTTTTAGGGTTTCGGCTTTCGTTCAAGCTTACCTTTCGATTCTTGTGGGGTTTCGGGGTCGGTTTAGCCCGTTTTAGGTTTTAGGGTTTCGGCTTGGGCCCTCTTTCATTAGGGTTTCGGTCTGGGTTTACTGTTTTTAGGGCTTCGGCCTGGGCTTCGTCCTTTTATGGTTTCGGGGTCTGTTTACTCCTTGCAGGGATTGGGCGTTCTTTCATTACGGTTTCGGCCTGGGTTTACTCCTTTTCTACGGATTCGGCCTGGGTTTGCTCCTTTTAGGGATTCGGGGCCCGTTTACACCTTTCTGGGATTGGGCCTTC